CAAGGAGCCCAATGCGGGACTCGATCCCAGGACCCTGGGATCGTGACCTGAGATGAAGGCAGACGCTTCACCCACTGAGCTCCCCAGGCATCCCACAATTTTTTGGTTTTTTTTTTAAGTAGGCTCTATGCCTAGTGTGGAGCCCAACATGGGACTTGAACTCACGACTCGGAGCTCAAGAGTCAGACACTTCACCGACTGAGCCACCCAGGTACCCCTGAATGATAACTTTTTTTTTTTTTTATTTATTCGACAGAGAGAGAGAGACAGTGAGAGAGGGAACACAAGCAGGGGGAGTGGGGGAGGGAGAAGCAGGCTTCCCGCCGAGCGGGGAACCCGATGCGGGGCTCAATCCCAGGACCCCGGGATCATGACCTGAGCTGAAGGCAGTCGCTTAACGACTGAGCCACCCAGGCGCCCTGAATTATAACTCTTAAAAGAATTAATATAAAGCTCTTAGAAAAAAAAAAGGAATGTGTTAGCAATGACGTATCAAAGGGTTCAGGTAACAAGAAGGTGCCTTGCATAAAAAGCATTTCAGAATGATAATGACACTAGCCACCCACTGGCCTGTCTCTCATCACCATGACCCAGCAGTGCGCAGCAATGCCAGTGACCACAGGCTCCCCTCTGCCGGGTGGCCTGCTCCCGCAGTGCTGTTCTTAGTGCACCGCTGTACGCAGAGAAGGGAGCGTGCATCCTAGTTCGGTACGTGTGACCTCGAGTTTGCACCGTGCTTTCTGATCCACGAGATGCCGTCCCTGACATTATTCTACTCACTCTTCCCTCAGTCCCATGAGCGAGGAAGACCTACCAGTGAGGACACAGAGCCTCTCTGGGGCCATGACCGCTAACTGGCGGCCTGCAAGAACTCTGACCTGACCCCGGGTTCCACTGTAGGGCCTCCCAGCACACGGCCCATGTCTGATGGGAGAACTGGCCCTGCGCCTTGCTCCTCGATTTCTGTCGCCCCATCCCTGGGGGTTCACGATGTCCAAAATGTCGATGATCATGAACACAGGCATTTACTCAAATGCTTGATTTACTGCCTGTCTCCATTCAAGCATTTGTTTGTTTGCCCTGCTGCCGCCTCTGCAGATGGCAACTTCGTTGTTTTTTTTTTTAGGATTTTATTTATTTTTTTAAAGATTTTATTTGACAGAGAGAGACACAGCAAGAGAGGGAACACAAGCAGGGGGTAGTGGGAGAAGGAGAAGCAGGCTTCCTGCGGAGTAGGGAGCCCGATGTGGGGCTTGATCCCAGGACCCTGGGATCATGACCTGAGCCGAAGGCAGCTGCTTAACGACTGAGCCACCCAGGAGCCCCAGATTTTATTTATTTGAGAGAGAGAGTGAGCCTGAGCATTAGCAGGGGAAGGGCCAGAGGCAGAGGGAGAAGCAGACTCCCCGCTGAGCAGGGAGCCCTACTTGGGTGGGGCTCAATCCCAGGACCCTGAGATCATGAGCTGAACCGAAGGCAGACGCTTAACCAACTGAGGCACCCAGGCGCCCCGGCAACTTTGTTTTTTCCAACAAAGTCACAAAGTAGGGGCTAGCAGGAGTTGGAGCAGATAACTCTCATGAAATCACAGCGTCCTAATTATAAATTTTAACAGAAATATACCTACTATAGCAACCAGGCCGATTAGATCTTTAAGGGTAATTAAATAGTGCCCTAAAATCAGGCTTCTGCTTCTGATATGAATGGTGGAACGGTCAAGAGAAGAAGAAAAACATTTAGAATACATGGTAAACTGAAATAAGGCAGGGGTGGGGGAGGGGACAGGGTGGAGGGGATGGGAAACAGAATTTCAACCAACCAGGAAAGACATTCACAAAATGCTGATAACAGATTGTCTCCATGACAAGATTTTAAGTGACTTTTAATTTCTTTGCTATACTTTTGGGTACTGTTTGATTTTAATTTTATTTATTTATTTATTTTTAAGTAAGCTCTATGCCCAGCATGGGGCTTGAACTCACGACCCCGAGATCAAGAGCTGTATGCTCCACCGACTAAGCCAGCCAGGTGACCCTGATTTTATTTTTTTAAAAAACAATGTTCGTTTTGTAAAAAGTTAAAAATTTTGAGAGGAAAAAAAACCTTAAGTGCTGAGATCATCTTTAACGATGCGTTCAGTTGAAATTCCACGACTGGGATGCCAATGAGTGAGCACATGCTGGGGGCGTACCCTGTTCCCTGGACACACGCCTCTGCCCCCACTTGCCGGGAGGCCTACACAAGCGGGTGCGGCCCCGTCTCCAGGAACCACGTTCTGACAGCTTGTCTCATGGAGGAGCAGCTTGCTATCAGTTCAGTTTTGCTTACCTGGACAGGTGGCTCAATCATTATCCAGGCTGGAAGCATCAGACTGGGATTGAGAGGCTGGGTTCCCACTCGGAAGTAAACTCCACCCCTGGAATCACAGGCCCAGATGTGCTGATTTCCACATGCCAAGCTTGTCAGTTTTACAGCTCCTGTAGACAAATAAAGGAAAAGTCCACACACTAATTACTTTTGTAAAATGACGAATCCTTCATTTAATCTATGGACTTTGGTTTTATCCTTCAAAGGAAGAGGGTGAGGCTGCACTTGCGGTCGCCCCTGTTGTCTGAGGGTAGCACAGGTAAGGGGGGTTGGCGAGGCCTCTGGCTGCCCCGCCACCTGCCAGGCGCCACGCGGAGGCTCGCCTGCCCCACAGGCGAAGCAGTCAGGATGCTGTCAGCACGGGGCCCCGAGCCAAGAAACACAGGGTTAGTATCTGTGTGGGCCTCATCTTAGCTTCACCACGTAAGCGCATACCACCAGCAAATTCTGCCTCTGGGGAGAGGAACTCCTCTTTATCGGGAATCCTGATCCTGAGAATTCGTATGAAGTAGCTACATCTCCTAGAATCTTCATGTTTCTGTTCACATTTCTCCTGGTTGATTAAACCAATTTTAAAAGAAAAGGAAATGGGAGGAGGCTTTAAGGAGAAATTACACTTGATTAATAGTCTACCTGGCAGAGCAGCTGCTGTGGGACAGGGAGCAGCTAAGTCTGACAGCCTCACTTCAAGCCCTGCACCAGTGACGCGAGGTGACTTACTAGCTCAGGTCACACTCGAGGTCGTCGGGACTCAGACACGAAGACTTGCCCCAGGTCCCAGGGCGAGGATGATGCTAAGCCAGGAGGCAAAGGTCTGAACCCAGGCCAGCCTGACTCCTCCACACCAGCCATCTGCCCTCTGGGACGCCAGTGAATGCAGAGATTGGATGTTCCGTTCAGTCAGTTTTGACAGATGAATAACCCAGGGAACCAACGTCCTGTCAAGTTACAGAACATTTTCATCACTCCGGGAAGTTCCCCTGGGCCCCTCTGTGTCAATCCCCTTGGTTCCGAGGCACCCACTTTTCTGATTTCTATCAGCATGGGTCAGTTTAGTCTGGTCTAGAGGTCCACATAAACAATCACAGGCAGGCTCTCTCCGGGCTGTGTCTCTGTCGCTCCATGGAACGTGTGCAGGATTCGTCCCCAGTGTCACTTCTTTATGTTGTGAGCATTACTCCACTGCACGCCAATACCGCAGTTTACCCAGCCCCCTGGCAATGGACATCTGGGCCGTGTCCACTTCCTGCCTTTAGGAGTAAAGCTGCTACAGTCACTCCTATAGAAGACTTTTTTGTGAGCATGTGTTGTTTTTCTCGAATGGTACCTAGGAATGAAGTGCAGGGCCACAAGGTGGGCGTACACTTGCCATCCTGCACACCCACCAGCTGTGCATGCCGCTGCCCACATGCTGCTACCCTTACCAGCACCTGGTCTTGCCCCCTTTTTCACATCGGCCATTCTAGGAGGTGTGAAGAGGTATCTCGTCATGGTTTTAACTTGCATTTCCCTGTTAACCAATGATGCTGAGAATCTTTTAACGTGCTTATGGGGCATAACTTGCTTACTGGGTATATCTTCTTCTGTGAAATGCCTATTCAAGTCTTTTGCGCATTTTTCAAACTGAATGGTCTTTTTTTTTTTAAATATATATTTTTTAAGATTTTATTTATTTATCAGACAGAGAGAGACAGAGGCAGGCAGAGGGAGAAGCAGGCTCCTCGCTGAGCAAGGAGCCTGATGTGGGACTCGATCCCAGGACCCTGGGATCATGACCTGAGCCGAAGGCAGACGCTTAACTGACTGAGCCACTCAGGCGTCCCTGAATGGTCTGTCTTTTGATGACTGAGTTAAGGCTTTCTTTGTATATTCTGGATACGAGTCTTTTTGTCAGACATACACTTTGTGCCTCTTTTCTCCCGGTCCGTGGCTTGCCTTTTCATTTTCTTGACAGTGTTTTTCTCTGAGTTTGTAATTGCAGTGGGTCATTCTGACTTTAAAGCAGGGGGAGAAGGTGGTGCAGCTACGCCCCGTGGCCGTGCTCCTGTCAGCCAGCTCACAGTTGTCACTGCGAGTGGATGGCAGCCCACGGATCTGTGCTGAGGCCCAGGCACGGACCCTGCTATGTGGAAATCCTGTCCGGTGCCTTCAGTTAGGACACCAGCTGGAAAGTATTCACTGACCACTACACGAACAGTTCTCGGTATTCCTCTGTGCATACACTGAAGTTAACTGTAGTTTTTCCTTCCTTACTCTTTTACAGAATATCTTACCAGGGAGTTCGAATGGACTTCCCAGAGCTCTAACATTACATAGTGAAAGACTGGTACCAATCAAAATACACTACCTTCAGCAGGAAATTACAGAAATAGCTGAGAAACAAATGCTAATTTTAAAATGTTAAATGACAATTAATTTTATGCTGGAGTCTTCAATCTGCCCTACTAGGAACTCTAGGCAATAGTGGATGGCGAGAACAGTTACATGGTGACAAAGGTACACCGGGCCAGCATCTCCGACAGCAGTGACTAACGCCACTGCCACCAGAACACACAGCTCATATTCCAGGAATATTCTTTCAGGACAAAAGTAAAGGCAACTAGAATACACATTCGGAAGTGAAGAGACAGGTCAAAGAAGAAGACGTTCAACTGAAGGCTGCAGTTTCCCACCTCACAGAGGGCCCCCCAGGCTGCCTGAATCCAGACAGTACATGAGACTGCTCTGCAGAGATGCTCAGGACAGGGGGAGAGACTCCTGCCCTCCCCAAACACTCCACACTGCCCTTCGGTCCCTGCGAGTTAGGCGGGGCCCGTCGCTAGTCCGGACAATGGGCTGTGACAGGCAGAAGCGACTTCTGCACTGAACCATAAGAGAGCTGGCAAGGGGCCTTTCAGCTGTCCCTGCTATGGTGAACAACCCAGGGAAGCCACAGGGCTCAGCAGCAGGGCCAGCAAACTGCCACCCAAGGGACACAATCCTAAGGGACTAGGAGCCAAAGGTTGAGAGCCAACTCTGTGGCAGCGGGGAAGCAACATTATATGAAGTCGCTGACATTTTGGGCCCATTACTACGTGACCAGCCTGATGAACACAGACACACTACAATTTTCTTGCCTTTCCCTGTTGTTTTTTCTATTTATTAATTACTTTATTCAACAAAGGAGACATTTTCCCTTTAGGATTATTTTTCAGCATATATTTGAGGATAAAATGTAACATTTATTTGGTGTTTTACTATTTACAAAACACTTTTCTGCATAAATTACTGCCTAATATAATCCTATTTGTTACCTAAAGGCAAAAACTGACACTAAATATTTCCTCATTAAATGCTGCGACCAGAGGGGGCACGTGGGTGGCTCAGTTGGTTAAGCAACTGCCTTCGGCTCAGATCATGATCCTGGAGTCCCGGGATCGAGTCCCACATCGGGCTCCCTGCTTAGCAGGGAGTCTGCTTCTTCCTCTGACCCTACCCCCTCTTGTGCTCTCTCTCTCTCAAATAAATTAAAAAAAAAAGAAAATCTTAAAATGCTGCGACCAGATAAATTAAATTACAAACTGCATTAGTTTGCTAAATATTCCAATGTCTGACAGAATGCATATTTATGTATACTGGGAAATGAAATGTTATCAGCATCTTAAATATCTGTTAAATGATGCAAATTTTCTTCTAAAAACTAGGACTATAATAGATCACAAAACTCCATATTCAGTCTCTAAAGCTGGGTTCAGTAGACATATTTTATTTATTTATTTGACAGAGGGAGACACAGCAAGAGAGGGAACACAAGCAGGGGGAGTGGGAGAGGGAGAAGCAGGCTTCCCGCTGAGCAAGGAGCCTGATGTGGGGCTCCACCCCAGGACCCTGAGATCATGACCTGAGCTGAAGGCAGACGCCTAACGACTGAGCCACCCAGGAGCCCCAGCAGACAGACATTTTAGAATTTTCTTAATTTAATCTCAAAGCAGCAACTGACATGGTAATTTGATTAGGGGCAGAAAAGAGTGATGTTAGGTCTTAAGAAAGAAATGAAAGGTAGAAATCAAATTCATGACTTGATACTTTGCAAAAGTCATCCATGAAACTGAAATTTTTCTTTTTTTTTTTTTTTTTTTAAGATTTTATTTATTTGAGAGAGAGAGTGAGAATGAGCAGTGGGGAGGGGCAGAGGGAGAGGGAGAAGCGGGCTCCCTGCTTAACAAGAAGCCTGGGATGTCCTCCGGGCTCTGTCCTTCCCCTGGCTCTGGGATCCAAGACCCTGGGATCATGACCTGAGCTGAAGGGAGAGCCACCCAGGCACCCCAAAACTGATATTTCTGCTTGCAATGTAAAAGCTGGTGACATTCCAGACTTTACAAGAACCTGGTATGGCCGGCATGAGGTGGGCCGCACCCCACCATCAGCACCGGGAAGACAGGCTTTCATGTTTCACGTCTGTGATGTCAGGATACCTGTTAAGAAGAGGCCAGGACTGCAGAGAACAGCACAGATAAATCACATCCCTGAACAAGATGGTGGCAACTTGGAGGTGGATTAACCAATGATCGTTCTCATACCTGCCTGTTATGCAGTTTTATTATTATCAGGATCAAGGCCAAAGACAGGATCAAAACTCGTATCCCGGGGCGCCTGGATGGCTCAGTCAGTCAACTGTCTGCCTTCGGCTCAGGTCATGATCCTAGGGTCCTGGGATCGAGTCCCGCATTGGGCTCCTTGCTCAGCGGGGAGCCTGCTTCTCCCTCTGCCTGCCACCCCCACCGGCTGTGCTCTCTCTCTGACAAATAAATAAAATCCCTAAAACAAACAAAAACTAAAAAAAAAACTCGTATCCCAGAATTACTTAGAAATGGGAGTTACCAGCAACACCCAGTTTCCCTGACGGTCTACTTTCCCACTGGGCATGATGTGGCCAAGCAAGTGGACCCCTCTGTGTGCAAACACCACATGGGGTCAGCCTGGAAGGGCTGCTGTGACAGAGCAGGAGCAGGGCACTCAGGGCACGGGGTGGGGGGTGGGGGGGAGAGGCAAGCGTCCCGAGGGAATGCGGACTGAAGGAGGCCGGGGGTGGGGCGGGGGACAGTCTTGGCGGAGGCCTGAAGGAAGAAGAGCCGGGGGAAGGACAAAGCAGGGAGGACATTCTAGGCCGTGGCAAGACAAGTGCAAGGAAGGCCGGGCCAGGCTGCGATGGCCTTGCGGGCCACCCTGAAGCCAGCGCACTGTGGTGCTCTCTCATGCTGAGGGTTCTTCTCAGGAAGATAGCTCTGGCACCGTGGGAAAGGTGGGCACACTACTGCATGGGCGGAGGGGAGCAGGGAGAAGAGCCTCGGAGACCCCACGGGGTAGAGGAAGAGACAGCGCTAAGGCACTGGCCCCAAACAGCCACAGGGGATCCTGCCCTTTCCAGAAGAATTCAATGGGAGAAGAAGAGCGAAATCAGGAAAAAGAGTACATTTGGGAAAGAGAAGTTTCATGTTGAACAAAATCCCCACATGCAGAGTCATAGTCCTAAAAGGCTGTGCTTCCTTTCATTGCTGTGAGCACCCACCATGGCCAATGAAGCATCCCATTAATCCCAGATAAGTAATTCAAGGCAGCATGAACGCTACCTCGATCACTACACTTTCTATTCACTACTATTCAATGCCTGCTGCCTTATGACAACCTGCCATGGCCGCTCCCACGTGGGGCCCTGGGCGGGGAGCACACAGCTAAACTTAAAATCTTCATCCCCTCATTTAGATAATAAGAATTTATTTATTTACTTATTTTAAGATTTTATTTATTTATTTGACAGAGAGAGACACAGCGAGAGAGGGAACACAAGCAGGGGGAGCGGGAGAGTTCTGGAGAAGCAGGCCTCACACCGAGCAGGGATCCCGATGCGGGGCTCGATCCCAGGACCCTGGGATCATGACCTGAGCCGAAGGCAGA